GATCGAGCCAATAACCTGAGAACTATTAAATCTTTCAGGCACTGTACGACCGGCATCGGATCTTCCAGTTGCGACATCGACAAGGTGAGCACTTTGAGATTCACAGGAAGGACCGACGAGTCCTGTACAGACCTCAATGATCCGAGCAAGTACAAGTTTGAAAGAGATTTGACCCCACTCATATCACTCAAATCGAGGCTCGCAGGCTGACCGAACAGGTCCCTCGATCTCAATCTCAGGGACTCAAGACTGGTGAGTTCTGAAAGGCATTCTGTCACCTTCTTCACCGCTTCGGGACGGCATGTTACGCCCAGCTTCTTCAGGCTTTGCAGCTTCTTCAACACACCTATTGTCACGCCCCGAACCCCAACGGGCTCGCGACACCCCTCGATGGTCAATCATTGAACGCGACGTCCCCCGTGACGCGTCGCCAACCCAAACGAAACACCCAACGATAAAGGCAAGGAAGCGAAATTAAAACAACCTGCAGAATAAAATATGACAAAGGGATAGCACAAAACAATAATTCCAAATACACAACATCAAAAGGGAATAGTGGTGGGGCATCCTACTTCGCTTATACAAAAGAGGGCGCACAAAAATATGGGGTAACTTGACCCGTCCTCCATCCCCGAGATACCCTTGCGGTGTCCTCCAATCAATCACGGTAGCGCAGATCTGAAAATGGTTATATAATAACCGTGAGAACGAGTCTCAATAAGCAACCCCTATACCCCACATAGGCCAATGCGTACCCACAGACATAAGTCGTACATGCACCTACCCGATTACATATATATAATTCACATAAATGGACTTACTCGCCATCCAACCACATGCCCACACTGCACATTAGTCAAATCATAATAATGCAATATTAGTCAATGACACATCAAAATCATTTGAGCGCTGTGTTTTGCGCTTGCTTCTGTTGATTCTGGGCGCTCTGCTCGGCGTCGGGGCCCATGCCCCTTGATTCTTTGTTCGAGACAGAGTCACAGCTGCGCCGCATCTCATGAAGTCTGCATTCTTTTGCTTCCAGACAGAAAAATTCACGAAGAAAAGCGGGCATGTGACGTGTCAGAGAACTCTGCCCGGCGTCGGGGTCCATGCCCCTTGAGACAGAGTCAGGGCTGTACTGGATCTGAAGAAGTCCGGATTCTTTTGCTTTCCGACAGAAAAATTCATGAAGAAAAGCAGGCACGCGACATGATCGGTTCACTTCCGTCCAGTTTCCGCCGTACCACGTGAATGAAGTTCCATGCTCTCTAATTCGCCCGAAAACAGTCCTCCGCCGACCTCATCTTTCACACGACCCATCAGCACTGCTGCCCTGCCAACAACCCCTCAGCAGCCCATTGTCGGAAAAGCCTCCTTGTGGGGACCTCGTACTCTCACACGAAAGAGAGCCATATAAAGAACACGTGGCTTCATCATGTAAGGCAATTCCGATCAAACCTCAAGCTTTCTTATTTCACGATATCGTCAAGGGTGGAACGATCTCCAAGCCGGGCCACCCTTGATGAGGGCCTTTCTCAATTGCACACTGCACCCATAATCAACACTCGCCATGCAGTCATTTAAGTCACAATCCTTTCAGCTAGTGTCAGATCAGCTGGGGGAGTGCCCTCCATTGCATTCTGCTTAGAATTTTCATGCCATTCAGGATGGATCATCTTCGATTCACGAATTCGTCGATTAGAGTTACATCCTCCAGTGATGCTTACTTAGCAATTTCTTTGCACTCCGTAATTAAAGTCAAGTGAGGAACACATCCTAAACAAGTCTAAACCCAAGTCGGAGATCAGGCGTCCAAGTGGTCTGCAAACTTTTGCATTTCTTCATTTGTAGTAGTGACAATTACTCTGCTTCCTTTACTCGAATCAGCGAATGGGACCAAGAGCTTGTTGATGAGACTGGCCTCATGCAAATTATCCACAACTATCAAGTACCTAAGGTCCATCAACAATATATGAAGCAGCGGGAGCAGCTGCTCCTCTTGCTTGTGCTCCAAGTCTTTTGCCCGATCCCGGAGTGGGGCCTGTTTCAGTATGTCCACCAGGAGGTTCTTCATCGGGTCAGTCTCTGCCCAAAGGTCCGTGAAGCGGACCCAAGCACGACAGTCGAAGTGATGCTTGACTTTTAGCTTGCTGAAGACACTCCTCACCAGTGCGGTCTTGCCACAGGCACGTTCGCCAACCACCGAGATCACCCGAAGGTTGGAGTCGTCATCATTGATCAACCAGGCAAGAAGCTCTCTTACATATTCGTCACGGCCCACGATATCGGACTCTAGCCTCTGCCTCGTATTTTCTCGATTCCTCTTGCTCGATGATGGAGATGATGCCCTTTCATTCTCCGGCATGCCTTCATTAGCAGGAGGCCGGGATGGTGCGAACTTGCTGGATAACAATCTGACTTCCCTCATGAAATTCTTGGCCATCTTTTTCCTGGCACGTGCTCGGTTCATTTCTGTGAAGAACCGAACTAAATCAAACACCATGGTGAATCGACCCTTTTGCGATTTTGACATCTGATGTCGGAACAACTTGACGAGGAATACTTCTGCAATCTGCTCAGCTCCACGAGCCAAATGCAGAAGCCGTTCCTCGCCTTCCGGAGTTTCTTGGTTGCGGTCATCGTTGAGCTCGGTGTGTTCCCTGGTGTTCAGGATCCTATGAAGATTGCTTATGGAGTCAGAGATTTGATCTGTTAACTTTTGATAGGTGATGATGTCTTTGGACTTGGAGAGAAGATCATGAAGTCTGACTATCGCCAGTGAAACGGCCACTTCAGAGGCAGCCATGGGTCTGTGAACAGAGAATATGAGGGACAGATTAATAAACTAGAAAGGAGGAGCGTCTTTTTATTTTTTATTTTTTTTGTGAGTGTCTCAAGCTTTGATACTGAGGAACAAGCAAACAAGACATGTGTGGCCTAAGACCTTTATAAGCGTAAGAATAGAATTAAAAAGAAGAAAATTATCAATTTACTTATTGTCTAGGACTTTCACATTCATCTTTTGATTTGCTTGAATCCTTTTAAATTTGCTGAAAATTATGAACAAAAGATATGCGGATCTACAACGTCAATACAAGAACCTTTTCGAAGTTTTAAGCATTTTGCATTAGACATCGTTTAGAGTGAGATCATCGTAACGGCGGACTTAATAGTAATTCTAAAGGATGAGTGTATTGGAAGTCCAAACTTATTACGAAAATGCAATTGAGTCCTAAAACTTTTTAAAAGTGCAATTAAGGATGCGTTTGTTTGAAGGAAAGTGTTTTCTGGGAATTCATTTTCCGAACTTTCACCCGTTTGGTTCGTCGAAAATGATAAGTCAATTGAAAATATTTTCCAGTCAAGGAAAACATTCATGTATAAAATTAGGAAAGTGAATTCCCTAATCTAATAAGGTGAAAACACTTTCCAGAATTGCTCATTTTGAATTTGTTAACATTTTTTCTTTTCTTTTCTTTTCTTTCTAAGAAAAAAAAACATTAATGTATTTTCTTTTCTTAATAAAATTAATTTAAAATAATTTAAAAAATGCAAATTTTTTTGATAATTTTTACCATCAGATTTTCATCACAAAACAATGGAAAATACTTTTCAAGTTTTTTATTTTATATTTTAGCCCAACACCGAAAAACGAACTCATTTTCCTAGAAAATGACTTCCTGGTCTAGAAATCGTATATTTTCCGCGAAACAAACGCACCTTAAGTCCTCAAACTTATTACGGAGTGCAATTTAGTTCTAAAACTTGTCACGAAGTGCAATTGAGTCCTAAAATTGTCCTTCCATCGATTGTCTTTTTTAAAAATTTTAGGACTCGATTGGACTCAAACTTATTACGGAGTGCAATTTGGTTCTAAAACTTGTCACGAAGTGCAATTGAGTCCTAAAATTTTCCTTCCATCGATTGCCTTTTTTAAAAATTTTAGGACTCGATTAGACTTTCGTAATAAGTTTAAAAATTTTATTGCACTTTTGCGATAAATTTTAGAATTTTTAATATAGTTATCCCTGATTCTAAACAAGACTTCTATTATTGAAGGCCCCGTCATCTACCAACGCCAATCTGTCTTGTCCTTATTGACTGGAGTGGGACATGCAAGAGGACGATTCTCACGGGAAAAACGGCGGTCTTTGAGTGTTGTGCTGTCCTCATTCTATGGGCTGAGCGGGAGATATCCAGAACGAACTTGGTCGGCTAATTTTAATTTCCATTAGTCAAATATTAATTGATACGTGTCGGAATTATGCACGTTAAGGTAAAACCACATGCTCCTCTGCCAAACCAACGTGTCATTACATTAATCGTGTCTTGTCTTATGTATGGGAAGTGATGTGTGTGGTTCGGGGAACCTCTCTCGCAAATTACATAAATGCTTTGTATACACAACGGTCAAAAAGAGGAGTTCGAACCCTTTTAACTTAGTGCTTCTTTTGTTTAATCAAATACTTGAACCCGCATAATTATTTTAATTAAGTCACTCAAGCCCAAAATCCAAATCCGATTAGTTGGCACTCACTTGTCCATTTGAGCCAACAAAAGTTTTGACGCGAAAAGCTCGAGGGTCGGGTTGGTTTTGAAGAATCTTATTGCTCGAGGTTCGGTTGCGGTCTTCGTCTTTGGGGTTTTTAGACGGGAGTGGCAAAGAGCTTTCCCTCTTGAAGTCGGAGGGACTTGATTTATGGAGTGACGCGGGAGTGGCAAAGAGTTTTCCCTCTTGAAGTCGGAGGGACTTGATTTATGGAGTGACGCACAAGTACGAGGACTTGATTGGAAAAAATACACAAGATTGGGGATGCAAAAATGGATTTCTGCCTTGTAGAATTCCAAGTACTACGGACACAACAATATACAGATTTGAGGAGTAGTTATGCGTGATTCAAAAACTAGTAACAAAGATTAACTTCATCTTATTAGATCATTTATCCACCTGTAACTAGCTTCCATCTGATTTGATCTAGTAGAATTCTAGTAATTCATCGTCATCTCGGCCTTCTAATCTGTCGAAACAGTGTTAGCTGAAAAGAAAACAGATTTCCTTGATCGGCAAAACTTAAGAACTCAGCATGATTCGAGACGACTATGAATAGACCCCACAGTGTCTCGAGTTTAGTAGTCAGGGACTTCCCTGATGAGATATGGCGTTGGATGGACTCATCGAACGATGCTTCGCTCAGGTACAGATGTCGGAGGTTCTTTGCATTCCAAATGGCGCTTGTCACTTTGGTTATGTTGGTGTGCTTCAGATCTAAGGTTTCCAGGAGCAACAGATTCCCGACTGATTCCGGAATCGAATCCAGAACGGTCCATCTCAATCCCAAATACCTTACGTTCCCCAGTGCATTTCCAAAGTTCTTTGGGAGCACGGGCTTGTAAACACCCTCGAGATCAAGTACCCTCAGCAAATCTGGGCGTCCGTCTAAATTAAGAAGATCTTCGATCTCTCTCGCTTGCGTCCCTAGCTTACGGGTGTTAAACGATGCAAAAGACTGAAGGCATTGGACCTGGTGACCATAATGTCCTGTCGCTGTGTTTTGCGCTTGCTTCTGTTGATTCTGGGCGCTCTGCTCGGCGTCAGCCCCCGGCCCCTTGTTTTTTTTTTTTGAGACGGGGCCACCGCCCCGCCGCATCTCTTTTAATTTAGTTTCCTTTCTTTCCCCAACAAAAAAATTAAAAAAAAAAAGGGGGGATGTGACGTGTCAGAGAACTCTGCCCGGCGTCGGGGTCCATGCCCCTTGAGACAGAGTCAGGGCTGTACTGGATCTGAAGAAGTCCGGATTCTTTTGCTTTCCGACAGAAAAATTCATGAAGAAAAGCAGGCACGCGACATGATCGGGCACTTCCGTCCAGTTTCCGCCGTACCACGTGAATGAAGTTCCTGCTCTCTAATTCGCGAAAACAGTCCTCCGCCGACCGCATTCGGACCGACCCATCAGCAGCTGCCTCTGCCAACAACCCCTCAGCAGCCCATTGTCGGAAAAGCCTCCTTGTGGGGACCTCGGACTCCTCAGGAAAGAGAGCCATATAAAGAACACGTGGCTTCATCATGTAAGGCAATTCATCAAAGCTCAAGCTCACGATATCGTCAAGGGTGGGACGATCTCCGAGCCGATCAATGAGGGCCTCACAATTGCTCACTTCCGCAGCAGACAAAAGTCCTCCTAGCAGTGAGATCGCTGGGGGAGGACCATTGCATTTGCTTAGAATTTTCTCCTTGAGGATGGTCATCTTCGATTCCGAATCGTCGATAGAGTTACCTCCTCCCGTGATGCTTACTAGCAATTTCTTGCACTCCGTACTGGTCAGGTGAGGGAACAATCGGAGATCAGGCGTCCAAGGGTCTGCAAACTTTTGCATTTCTTCATTTGTAGTAGTGACAATTACTCTGCTTCCTTTACTCGAATCAGCGAATGGGACCAAGAGCTTGTTGATGAGACTGGCCTCATGCAAATTATCCACAACTATCAAGTACCTAAGGTCCATCAACAATATATGAAGCAGCGGGAGCAGCTGCTCCTCTTGCTTGCGCTCCAAGTCTTTTGCCCGATCCCGGAGTGGGGTCTGTTTCAGTATGTCCACTAGGAGGTTCTTCATCCGGTCAGTCTCTGCCCAAAGGTCCGTGAAGCGGACCCAAGCACGACAGTCGAAGTGATGCTTGACTTTTAGCTTGCTGAAGACACTCCTCACCAGTGCGGTCTTGCCACAGGCTCGTTCACCAACCACCGAGATCACCCGAAGGTTGGAGTCGCCATCATTGATCAACCAGGCAAGAAGCTCTCTTACATGTTCGTCACGGCCCACGATATCGGACTCTAGCCTCTGCCTCGTATTTTCTCGATTCCTCTTGTTCGATGATGGAGATGATGCCCTTTCATTCTCCGGCATGCCTTCATTAGCAGGAGGCCGGGATGGTGCGAACTTGCTGGATAACAATCTGACTTCCCTCATGAAATTCTTGGCCATCTTTTTCCTGGCACGTGCTCGGTTCATTTCTGTGAAGAACCGAACTAAATCAAACACCATGGTGAATCGACCCTTTTGCGATTTTGACATCTGATGTCGGAACAACTTGACGAGGAATACTTCTGCAATCTGCTCAGCTCCACGAGCCAAATGCAGAAGCCGTTCCTCGCCTTCCGGAGTTTCTTGGTTGCGGTCATCGTTGAGCTCGGCGTGTTCCCTGGTGTTCAGGATCCTATGAAGATTGCTTATGGAGTCAGAGATTTGATCTGTTAACTTTTGATAGGTGATGATGTCTTTGGACTTGGAGAGAAGATCATGAAGTCTGACTATCGCCAGTGAAACGGCCACTTCAGAGGCAGCCATGGGTCTCTGAGCAGAGAATATGAGGGACAGGTTAATAAACTAGAAAGGAGGAGCGTCTTTTTATTTTTTATTTTTTTTGCGAGTGTCTCAAGCTTTGATATTGAGGAACAAACAATCAAGACATGTGTGGCCTAAGACCTTTATAAGCGTAAGAATAGAATTAAAAAGAAGAAAATTATCAATTTACTTACTGCCTAGGACTTTCATATTCATCTTTTGATTTGCTTGATTTCTTTTAAATTTGCTGAAAATTATGAACAAAAGATATGCGGATCTACAACGTCAATACAAGAACCTTTCGAAGTTTTAAGCATTTTGCATTAGACATCATTTAGAGTGAGATCATCGTAACGGCGGACTTAATATTAATTCTAAAGGATGAGTATATAGGAAGTCCTAAAATTTGTTACGGAAATACAATCGAGTCCTAAAACTTTCAAGAAGTGCAATTAAGGGTGTATTTATTTGAGGGAAAGTATTTTCTGGGAATTCATTTTCCGGACTTTCACCAGTTTGGTTCATCGAAAATGATAAGTCAACTGAATACATTTTCCGGTCAAGGAAATATTTATGTATAAAATTAGGAAAGTGAATTCCCTAATCTAATAAGGTAAAAACACTTTTCAAAATTGCTCATTTTGAATTTGTTAATATTTTTTTCTTTTCTTTTCTTTTCTTTCTTTTTCTTTTCTTTTCTTTCTAAGAAAAAAACGTTCATGTACTTTCTTTTCTTAATAAAAATAATTTAAAAAATACAAATTTTTTTGATAATTTTAACCATCAGAATTTCATCACAAAACAATGGAAAATACTTTTGAATTTTTTTTTTATGTTTTAGCCCAACATCGAAAAACAAATTCATTTTCCGCTTGAAAAATGAAACCATTTTCCCAAGTTCAAACTGATTACCGATTTTCCAGGCTAAACGTTAAAAATTCACAAATATCCTTAAAGTTGTCCTTCCAAACGATTGTCTTTTTAAAAATTTTGGACGAAACATAATGCAGATCTACATGTCACTTTTTCAAAGTAGTTAGTGTTTTGCATTACACAACGATTGAAATGTTGTACTCAAAATCCGAAAAATAAAAACTTTTCCTTTCTCATCGATTGTCCTTTTTAAAAATTTTAGGACTCGATTGAATTTTCATAACAAATTTAAAAATTTAATTGTGCTTTCATGATAAATTTTAGAACTTTTAATATAGTTATCCCGGATTCTAAACAAGACTTCTATTATTGAAGGCCCCATCCATCTACCAACGCCAATCTGTCTTGTCGTTATTGACTGGAGTGGGACATGCAAGAGGACGATTCTCACGGGAAAAAGGGAGGTCTTTCAGTGTTGTGCTGTCCTCATTCTATGGGCTAAGCGGGAGACATCCCAGAACGAACTTGGTCGGCTAATTTTAATTTCCATTAGTCAAATACTAATCGATACGTGTCGGAATTATTCACGTTAAGGTAAAAACCACATGCTCCTCTGCCAAACCAACGTGTCATTACATTAACCGTGTCTTGTCTTATGTAGGGGAACTGATGTGTGTGGTTCGGGGAACCTCTCTCGCAAATTACATAAATGCTTTGTATACACAACGGTAAAAAAGAGTAGTTCGAACCCTTTTAACTTGGTGCTTCTTTTGTTTAATCAAATACTTGAACCTGCATAATTATTTTAATTAAGTCACTCAAGCCCAAAATCCAAATCCGATTAGTTGGCACTCACTTGTCCATTTGAGCCGACAAAAGTTTTGACGCGAAAAGCTCGAGGGTCGGGTTTGTTTTGAAGAATCTTATTGCTCGAGGTTCGGTTGCGGTCTTCGTCTTTGGGGTTTTTAGACGGGAGTGGCAAAGAGTTTTCCCTCTTGAAGTCGGAGGGACTTGATTTATGGAGTGACGCGGGAGTGGCAAAGAGTTTTCCCTCTTGAAGTCGGAGGGACTTGATTTATGGAGTGACGCACAAGTACGAGGACTTGATTGGAAAAAATACGCAAGATTGGGGATGCAAAAATGGATTTCTGCCTGCATGACCCATGCACTCGGTAGAATTCCAAGTACTACGGACACAACAATATACAGATTTGAGGATCGAGTAGTTATGCGTGATTCAAAAACAAGTAACAAAGATTAACTTCATCTTATTAGATCATTTATCCACCTGTAACTAGCTTCCATCTGATTTGATCTAGTAGAATTCTAGTAATTCATCGTCATCTCGGCCTTCTAATTTGTCGAAACAGTGTTAGCTGAAAAGAAAACAGATTTCCTTGATCGGCAAAACTTAAGAACTCAGCATGATTCGAGACGAAAATTTTTCAGAGTGGGGAATATTTATTGTTTGCCAATGGATACGAGTTCGGAAAAGTATCATTACGACGATGCATCAGCATACATAGAGAGGAGATTAATACAAGCACTTGAGCCACAATTCACGCATTATTTTGGCTGCTTATTCTCTGTTGTAGGCGTGATAACAACGCCTTTGACGCGGAGGCCGGACTTCCAATGCCCATCAGTTTGTGTGAGGGAAAAGCTTATCTCGCCGATGGTTTTGGGTGTCGTCTCGAATTTGCCGATGCTAAGAGGTGTCCACGTTTCCTTTTTCAAACTGTCCAATCTTGCCATGCGTCCCTGCTTGTTTCCATCCGGTAATTGGAGACTGAGGTTCACCGGAATTTCCCATCCGTGGTTTCGACTGCCCATCTTCACGAAGATAGCGACTTCATACATCGTCCTCGGAGAGAGCACGATTGTTTCGCATTTCCCTTTGATTTCTAGCCAGCAAACACGTCCTAGCTCGGCGACGGGCAGATTTTCGTTGCCCCAATAGCTGAAACTCAGAAATATTCATGCAAGCAAAGGATTGGTTTACTAGAGATGATGATGGTTAGCAACGATCTCATTTTCACGTAAGTAATTCAAAGTTTTTGCGGCAGAAAAAATTGTTTTAGTGCAGAAAAAAAGGTGCATATTCAGCAGCATCCTTTCAGCTGCATATCAGGAAATATGCAACGCCAAAATAAATCTAGAGACATGCCAACACAAAGGTACTCATTTAGGGGCAATAGAACGTTTCTCGCCGCCTGCAAGTCATTTTTGTTGAGACAAATTCATACGTTGTACCCAGACCGACCTAGATTCTTGACCATTAGATGAAAGTTGGACTTAAAAATGTACTTGTTTAGGATAGAAGAAGAAACGATACCATGATTCCCCCTCTTCTGGCCATGTCCAGTATCGGCGATCGTTACCCCAAGTGATCGATAAGGCCGGAGCCAGAACCATCAAGCAGTTCCTGTTGAGCTCCTCGTCAACCCAATACTTGTGTGTGTATGGCGGTTTCTGTAAGCCCAAAGCAGTGATCATTGAGTGAGACATAAACAAAATCAGAACAAAACTCGGCTCTTGTCCAATCAGAAGCTACCGAGCTCCCATCCGGTCCCTTATGACCTATTAATAGATCCACTTATCATCTGCAAGTGGTCTTGACTTACAGACTTTTCCTGCATATCATGCAGTTTTAGTTTCATGGCGGCATCACAGTCCGAGCCAAATGTTTTTTCAATATATCTGAGCAAAACAAGTTCATTTTTGTTCTCTGGAACTTGCCTGAAGCTCGCCGTTTTTCGCCTCGACCTGCTTCTTGTCGTCCTTCAAAAGCACTCCTGCATAGACTCGACGGCTCACCTCGTTTGCGTCGAGGGAGGCGATTTCGTCACCGATCGCTCTTCTCAACATCGCCAAGGAAATGACAGGAGGCCTAGGCTTTCTCGTTTGACTTGTGCTGTTTCGGGCGTCTCCTTCATCTGTTGACGGTGACGAATCGGGTGCATCTCCTGCTGCACAAATCTCTGCCATCTTCTTCCAGATATACTCGTACCTACCATAAATGTACACAAAAAAAAAAAAATCAAAGGATTGAGTTGGTCTAACGTTAAGCTAAACGAAAGGTTGATTTATTGGTCCAGACGTTCGGACTGTGCCGAGAACCTCTTGTTGCTTGCAGATCCTGCTATGACTAAAGAAACAGAGACGAAGATATGATGGTGGGTTCTGATTTTACACATTTTCATGGTTAAGTAGAGACAAAGCGACCCCAATATTAATAACAAATAAAAAACGTAATAATTATGATGATGTCACACTGAAGATGCGTACCTTCATTATTGTGATATCTCTGATGTGATGGAAAATGGTAGAAAAAATGTTACAAATGATTCATGAACCTTAATTTAATGTGCAATAAGATTCATAAATTTTTAATTTGTTCAATACTGTCCATAAACTTTAGTTCGATGTGTAATGTTGTTCTTGAACTTTTAAATTGTTCAATATGGTCTCTGGACTTTTCGTACTTGTTCAATTTAGTCCCTAAATCATGTGAAAGTTTTCAATGTGTTCTTGAACTCAATTTAATGGAATGACTACATTGAACATTTTCATATAATTCAGGGACTAAATTAAACACGTACTAAAAGTTCAGAAATCACATTGAACAAATCAAAAATTCAAGAACAACATTGCACATTGGAGTAAAGTTCGGGGATCATATTGAACAAATTAAAAGTTCAGGTCTTCTTACCTTTTTCTTTTCTTGACCCATCCATAAGGGTTCATCAAAGTTCTCATACATTATCTTGGTGTTCTTGCCTTAGCTGCCAGCTCTATCGAGGTCCATATTTGGTCGTGGCTTTCCAATAGCAACGTATCCCTCCGAAATCATCCAAGGGCCCTATTGCAGTACAAAGTCGTAGTCATCAATGCTTGGGAAATTTTTGCAATGATAAAAGTAGTTTCCCATAACCATGGAATTTTGAGCTCAGCACATTAAGGTGCTAAAACATACGCTTGTTCTAGGAACGCCCTAAAACGGATTAATAATTTTCCACTTATAGGGACATTTCCGATGCCCATCGACACATTTTGATACACAACACATGTTAGAACAAAACTGGTGTTCACTATGTTGACCAGTGCCGACAAGCCAAGCATCCATTTTTGTAAAAATAAAAATAAATAACAGTAAAAGAACAAAAAAATAAAAAAATAAAAACAGAAGAGAGAGTCCATTTATTCAAGGACGTGGACTGGCCCATCTCGCCCCAACCCAGCCCGTTGGCATCAAGTCCAATTTCGGTTCAGCCCGGCTCAACCATCAACACCAGCACAAGCCGAACCCATCAAACCAAGCCCGAGAGTCCGGCTCAGCCCAATTAAATTTTTTTTTTTAAAATTCGAATTTTTAATTATTTTTTAATTTTCTTTTAATTTTCTTTTTTCATTTCTTTCCTTTTCTTTTCCTCCTTCCTCTGCCACGACCGGCTGGCAACGGCCACAGGCTAGCTCGAGCTCACTGGCCTTGGCCGAGCCACGAGCTTGCCGGCCTCAGTGGAGCTTGGGCTCGTCTGGATTGGCCGAGCCTCGAGTTCGCCGGCCTCGGGCGAGGTTGAGGCGCGAGCTCGAAGGCTAGGTTGCAAGATGGCGAGGTCGAGGCGAGGTCGAGGCGTGAGCTTGCCAGAAATGGCGAGGTCAGGCCTCGCCAGCCTCGGCCGAGCTCGACCTCGCTGTGGCAAGGCTTACGAGCTCGGCCTCGCCTGAGGACGGCCGTCGCAAAGGCCAGCGACCGACGAACGGAAGAAGAAGGACAAATAAAAAGAAAGAAAAGAAAAGGATAAAAGAAAGAAAGAAAGAAAGAAAAATATAAATTATTAAAAAATTCAAAGATGAACAATTTCGGAAAGTGTTTTTACTTTCTTGAATTAGGGAATTCACTTTCCTAATTTTATACATGAATATTTTCTTTGACCGGAAAGTATTTTCGGTTGACTTAACATCTTTGGCGAATCAAACGGGTAAAAGTCCGGAAAACGAATTCCCGAAAACACTTTTCTTCAAACAAACGCATCCTTAATGTACAATATAAAAACCATGTCTCATAGCTTGCGCATCTCCATGAATAGAATAGAGTGTTCGAATTGTTGTTTGTGTATTCGGTTCTGCGATCAATCTTTCTCTGTTTTGTTTCCCTTTCCATCTTTGTATTCTTTATATTCATAGCGTGCTTTGGTCGTGTATGTATGATGGCTGGCAAGTGATGGTGGGAATGCTGCGGTGGTCGGAGACGACCGATGGTGGGGTAAAGCATGTGTGTCCCGTCCTCGGTATAAAGTGTGCTGTGTATGGTTCTCTGGTGAGGCGTGTGTGATCTCCGTTGTCCGATTTGTAGAGTACGTATCAGTATTTCGGCTGATAACAGAATAGTATTAGTATGTGTTAGTCTAGACATGGCCACGGTTCGGAACCGGCGGTTCCGGTTTGTGGCCATGTATGAACCGGAACCGGCGGTTTCGGGCCGGTTTCGGTTCCGGCCCGGTTCAGAACCGGCCGGTAAAAATTAAAAAAATAAATTATGAAATAAAAAAATAATGAATTATCAAATTATGAAATAATGAATTATTCAATATAAAATGTAATTAAAATGTATATTGTAATCAAATTTGGGGAAAAAAAGAGAGAAATTTTTTTTTTGGAACCCGAACCGGGCCCGTAGGCCACGGGCCGGTTCCAATTCCAAACAGCGGGCCCGGTCAACGGGCCCGTGGCCATGTCTATGTTGGTCTACACGTAGCTGAACCTTGGGTTCGGACTTTGGAGAGTCTGGAAGAAGAAAAACCAGTGAACGAAAGGGGTGACGGACTAAGAAATAGGAAAGAAATAAATAAAACAATAATAACAAAAAATATATATAAAAAAACGAAAAACGAAAAAAAATTGGTAGGAAAATGCAAGTCTCGAGTTGTTAGTTATCTTTTAAGAGTAGTTCTAATTGGATTTCATTTTATTCATAATCATCTAGTTTGGGGAGTTTTTTTTTTTTGACGAAAAAAAAAAACCATAGGTCGTGCTTGTCTTAGATGAAATGGATAAGAAGATAAATGATGCTGATAATAATAATAAAATAAAAATGACAAAAAAATCTCGCTAGGATCGCATTTAGAGAGATTACTTCGACGAATTTTTCTGTTTAAATATCACTTAGTACATTTTGTTTAGTAGATAATTCTCTTTGGTAGAAATTATATTTTGACTTTGAGTTAGAAATTAGTTCACGGGATTTATGTCCCGGGGCTCAAGCAACGAAACCTTGCATATTTTTTCCCGACTCATATCGGGTTATATTTTTTGCGTTTTATTTTCGATGTCTTTATTTTTGTGCTTCATATCGTTGAATGTGTGATTTTCATTATTTTTTGTTCGATATTATTTTGTCTCGTGTGATGGATTGAAAAACCATAAATGAACATTTAGTAGGGCGTACTTGGAGACTTAAAATGAAAAAGACCACATGACTCATGTTTTCAATAAAAAGCCGTGCTTAAATACCGAAAAGGCACTAATTAGACTATTAGAATAACCAAGTCCCAAATCCTAAATCTCTAGTTTATATAGGAAGTGGCCTCGCAACGTTACCCTTGGCGCCTAATTAGTTAGTGGTGACTCCTACCAAGTAAAATCCTTTTGTTAGTCAAATTAAATCAATCATCGTAGCGCGGTAATGGTTTGCGAGAACATGTGTGAACAAGAGCGAGCACCCTGAGTAGGCGATCCCTCATTCCCATTCAATATACTGCTGAACCCACTCTGGCTAAACCCGCTCTCCCTAAATCCGAGAAAAGTGTCAAAAAAGTCCCAAACCTTTTGCATTAGTACCAATTCAGTCATAAACCTATTGCAATGGTGCCAATTCAATCCTAAACCTTTTTTTAGTGCCAATTCAGTCCTAAACCTTTCGTATTGGTGCTAATTGAGTCCTAAACCTTTTTTTGGTATCAATTCAGCTCTAAACCTTTTGCATTTGTGCCAAATCAGCCCTAAATCTTTTGCATTTGTGCCAATTTAGTCCTAAACTTTTTGCATTTGTGCCAATGCAGTCCTTCGACAAGTGAATAGTTATTAGCCGAAAGGACTGAATTGACACAAATACGAAAGGTTTAATACTGATTGGCACAAATGCAAAATGTTTACCATTGAATTGATACCAAAAAAGGTTTACGACTGAATTGGCACCAATACAAAAAGTTTATAACTGAATTAGCATCAAAAAAAGGTTTAGGACTAAATTGGCACCAATGTAAAAGATTTATGATTGAATTGACACTTTTCTCTAGCTAACTGCCCCAAGCAAGGAGGATGAAGGATGAGTCCCATATCGTGGGTCGTGAAGATTTTGTGAATGAACTCGTGTCGCAATTGATCGATAAAAGAGACAGCTGTGACAACCTGGGAGTGATTTCGGTGGTCGGTGAGGGAGCCATCGGCAAAACAGCTCTAGTGAGGAGCGTCTGCAACCGAGCAGACATTGAGAATCATTTTGACCGCTGTGCCTGGGTCCGGGTTGGGCCGGAGCCTAACCTGGTTCATCTCATGGTCAACTTGCTCAAGCAGCTGAGGGTTCGGGAATTGCGAAACGTGGAGCGTATGCACGAGGAAAAGCTGTCCGATATGATCCTAGAAGTCCTGCTGGAGTGGCGTTATCTGATAGTCCTGGATGACTTGTGCGATCTCCATCTCATGGACAAGCTCATAATGGTGCTCGTGGACTTGAGGAACGGGAGCAGAGTAATCGTCACGACTCGTAACCCCGACATACCCTCTTCCATCGATCCGTGGTATTCCACGCATCTCAAGTTGAGCCCCCTCAACCGAGAACAGAGCGAGAAGTTATTGGAAAAATGCAGCCTGGCTTTCGATGTGGTCGATCCGCCCGTGGAACTCCTCCATCTCAAAGAGAGGATTCTTAGTAAATCGGGCGGTTCTCCCCCAATGATCCTTCTGCTCGGAGGACTTTTATCTGCCACCACGTTGGACAGATGCACCGAGCTAGCCAATGGGCTTCCCGATCGTCCCACACTCCAAGATGTTGTGCGTTTGAGTGTTGATCAACTGCCAGACTGGTTAAAGCAATGTGCTCTGTACCTGACTCTGTTCCCTAAGGAATCTGCGATTCCCACAAGGAGGCTCTTCGGACTCTGGTCAGCTGAAAAGCTAGTATCTTCAGCGTTGGAGAACGAAGTAAACAGAGTTGATCCAGAGAAATGTCTCGAGATTCTGGTGTCTAGAAACATGGTCCATGTAGCACGATGGAAATGGGATGGGAGTGCCCGAACGTGCCGCTTGCCTGGAACGTTGTACGATGTCTTTTATCAGATGGCTAAGAATGAAAGATTCCTCAAGATCTATGACTGTTCTATTCATGATAAAGGAAAAGTTCGATGCCCCGCGTGTCACCATACATAGGGATATTTCTGGAGGAGGAGAAGCAAAGGCACAAGTAAATGTGCCAGAAGCAGCAAGAGAGCGATCAGAAACAAATGCACAAGAAGCACACGTGAAGATCACTCCTGCCGAGCCACATCAAAGAATGTCCACCTGCGACAATTCCATGCCGTGCGGCATCCAACAACTTTGTTGCTATGTGTCATTCAACACCATGAAGCTAGGAACAAGGGCCAGAGAGATAGCGGTGTTACTTAAACCGCTAGGAACAAGGGCCAGAGAGATAGCGGTGTTACTTAAACCGCTAGTGCCAAAGAGCGACTCAAGTTTGCTGAAGAGGGACTCGAGTTTGCTGAGGGTACTTGACCTCGAGGGTGTCTACAAGCCTTTGCTTCCGGAGGAGCTTGGCAACATATTGCCGAACCTAAAGTACTTGGGACTGAGATGGACTCTTCTTGAATGGCTTCCGGAGTCAGGTGGCGCTATTGTCACACCTGGAAACTTTGGATCTGAAGTACACTAACATACCTATCTGCCGGATTCAATCTGGGAGGCAGAGAATCTGCGACACCTATACATGACCGAGGTTGTCTGGGATGACGCCGCTTGTCATCAATTGGAATCCAATAAATCATTAAACTGCAACATCCAAACCATTTGGGGCTTAGTCATAAAAGATGATAGTCCCATGTTGAAAGTGCTGCGCGAGTCGACAGGCCTAATGAAGCTGGCTCTCACGTGGGATGGCAAGACGGTATCAGGAGCAACCAAGCATATTTTGCATCTGGAGATGCTTAAATCCCTCAGATTGCGAAGGAAGAAGCCAGCCTCATTTACTCGGATGGAAGATGAAATGAGTAACATGAGCGGGCTCGAGTCTCTTTCCAACTTGTACCTGCTCGGATATTTGGGCATGGAAAGCTTGTTGGAGTGGTACATCCCACCGAACCTGAAAGTACTTACCTTGTCCACGTCGAGACTAGACGTCGATCCGATGGGAGTCCTGGGGAAGCTGAAATGTTTGACCACTCTCCGATTATTTGCGTCCTCATACGAAGGCAAGACATCGAGCGTCTCAGAAGGAACATTTCCGAGCCTCCGTGTATTGAAACTGTGGAAGCTGGAGAACCTGACCGAGTGGACTATACAGGCAAATGCAATGCAGTGCCTCGAAGACTTGGAAATTAAGGACTGCAAGGAGCTGAAGAACATCGACGGACTGCAGCATATCAAATCCTTGGAAGTAATCACATTGGTGAGAGTGCCGGATGAACTTGAGCTAAGTGCATGTCAAAGTAATGCAGCCGAAGGTGCCAATCATAGCAAGAAGGAATTGGTAATATGATTGCCGCAAGCAGCTCTCTCTCTACTTTTGCTCTACATGTTTGCTTATACATTTGGGTTGCCATCCACAGGGAGCATCTCTTTGACTGTGCAAATAATAATTTGCTTGATTTAACTCCCAGTGCTTGTTGCGTTATGTAGAATCTGGAGAGGTGCTTCTTTTATAGCTATACGGTGTTCATGTTATTTTGCTCAGGGGGTGTGGGAGGGGTGGGTTTTGGTTGGGGGTGGGCGTGGCGTTAACGCGTGCGAATAACAAACAGTCGTGGTACGTGCGTGTGAGCGTGCGTCGGGTTTTCCCTCATAGAACGTAGTTAAGCTTTTATAGTGTTAGTGGCGATGGATTATTAGTCTTAGGGGTGAGCAAGATGGACCGCCCAAATCGGAATTAGACCGGACTGACCGGTTTGGGCCGATTCTCGGGAATATCGGTTCGGTTCGGTTCTAAAAGTGAAATCGATTCGGCGTTTGATTCTCGGTTCTAAGATAATTGACGGACGATCAATAAATATATATTTTCTAATTTTTCATATATATAATATTTAATATATATGAAAAATATTTAATATTGGTCCCATTGGAACCGATTGTTCAATTTTTTCATATATTATATATTTTTCCAATTTTTTCCATGGCTTTATTATGGGATCAAATCAGTACTATAAAGGAAAAAAACGGAATAATCATTTCCCGGTTCACAAATAATATTTAATATTGGTCCCATTGGAACCGGTCCACGGTCCCAAGACTAGCCGAGTCACATGAAGACAAGGAGGAAGGAAAGAAAATACTAATTTCCCCATCTTGTTTGGGTGTGCGTTGGGAGAAATGTAGACCGTAGAGAGCTAAATGAAAATTCACTTTAATTAAATAAAGAAATCCTTTTGTGGGTATATTACTTTAAAAGAATCAATGTAGTGTACACAGGCTTATGTAATTACAATCATCGTGGCCTTTGTCGCACGAATTAATATGACATTGTTGACACTTGATCATGAACAGGATGAAAAATGAAGAAGACGAAGATGACCATAGTGAATGACTCTGCATCCCGTCTCGAGGAAGATTCGGATGAATGGGGACCAAAAGTGCGCGAAGGTTTTTTCATCGAGGACGTCGACAAGGAGAAGAGTGAATGCCAAGTTAGGAAGGACTCGATGAAGGCCTTTGCATCCATAAGAGCAGGTGTCAAACAGAAAATATGATGTTTCAATGCCAATGTATTTTTATCGATGACATCAATAAAATATGGGTGTCATGTAAGACTTACAAATTTTTTTTAAAAAAGATTATGCATATCGTTCAAATGGAGACTCGATGATGGTCTTCTTCAACATTTATCGAAATATACAGAATTCTATGACAGTACAGAAAAAGAAGAAGAAGAGATACGTCTTTATAGAAGCACGACGAATATTTTGGTGGGAATAATTCAAGTCAGGAGTCACATGAAGACAATGAGGAAGGAAAAGAAAATACTAATTTCCCCATCTTGTTTGGGTGTGCGTTGGGAGAAATGTAGACCGTAGAGAGCTAAATGAAAATTCACTTTAATTAAATAAAGAAATCCTTTTGTGGGTATATTACTCTAAAAGAATCAATGTAGTGTACGCAGGCTTATGTAATTACAATCATCGTGGCCTTTGTCGCACGAATTAATATGACATCACTAATTATTTACATTTATCTATCTCCATGATGCATGTCCGGCATTCTTAACTATGTCAGGTAAAGGTGCCGCATCAATTTAGGAGTATATTATTGGGACAACACAACATGGATAGTAAATGCAATAATGGCACATCAGTGGGGATATTTTTATGAATGCTCGAAATACCACAGGATTGTCCACCTAACTAATTACGAAATATCAAACATGGCAAGCTTTCTCATAACCTTAAATTCACGTGAAGAAGGAAAGTGGTGGGGCTCAATATTTTGATTTTGTGATATATGGTGATTTAACGATGCCAAAGGTTGGGCCTGCGAGGCTTGCCCCGATGTGGGTGACGCCTCACCAGCCCTCGCACGGGACCAACGCGGCTCGCCCAGATCTGGGCACCGCCTGCTCTTGCCAGGGCCTAGCGAGCCTCGCTAGCCCCGAGTGAGGCCTTGCCGACCCTAGGCAAGGGCCGACAACGCTCGCTAGGCCTCGCCAGCCCGAGTGATGGCCGAATTCGCCCAGATCTAGGCGAGCCTCGCTCAGGCCGGCGATGGGCAGCGGCGGCAATGCACTACCGGTGAGGCTTGCCCTTTTTTTTTCATTATTGTTTTTGTAAATAAAAATTTATTTTTTTATTTAATTTAAATAAGATTTAAATGAGAAAATAATAATAAATACCATGCAGGAGAGAGAAATTGATATAAATATGCCACGTCAGCATTTTCCATTAGAAAAATTGACGGTGTTAACTTTAGGACTCAATTGAACTAAGTTGACAAGTTTTAGGACTTGATTGCACTTTTTGTAAGTTTTAGAACTCAATTATACTTTGGTGATAAGTTTTAGGACTTTTAGTGAATATATCCCTAAAATATTTAATGTAGTGCAAATTCATGTGAAGAAGGAAGGTGGTGGGGGCTCAATTTTTTTTCCCTAAATGTGGGACCAAATTTGGATTTTGTGATATGTGGTGATTTAATGATGCCAATGGTTAGGTAACAAAAAACATGGAAAATTAATAAAAAAGTTCTAAACTTATTATATGGGTCCTCGGCGTCCAAGAGCAGGTCTCTAGTGCCCAAGCCCGGGTCCATAGAGGCCAGGCCTGTCCCCCGGTGCCAATGCCCAGATTCCCAGCACCCGCTCCGAGTCCATCGAGGCCAAGTCTAGGACCTCGATGCCCGTACTTAGGCCCTCGATGCCTGTGCCCAGGTCCATCGAGGCCGGGCCCGAAGCCCCAGCACCCGGGCTTGGGTTCACAAAGGTTGAGTGCGAGATCCCGGTACCCAAGCTTGAATCCCCAACACCCAGGCCAGGGTCCACAAAGGCTGTGCTCGATTCCATTGAGAACTGGCCCGGGACCTCGGTGCCCGGGCTCGGGTCCATCGAGGCTGGGCTCGGGACCCAGATGCCCATGCCCCAATCCTTGGCACACTGGTCAAGGCCCATTGAGGTTGGACTCGAGACTCTAGTGCCCATACCCGGCTCCCCGGCTGCCCATTCATAAGTTACTAATACCCGAACAATATATGTCTATTTAGAAAATTTTAATTAGATTTTCCATACCAAATGATAAAATAGATTTTTCAGTTCATTTTTAGATTCAGTCAAACACCGGAAAATATTGTTATTTTCTTGTAAAATGACTTCTTGGAAAACCATTTTAAGAAATGTCATATTTTTCGCGAAAAAACAGAACCTAAGCTACGTCATACACTGCTATACTTATAGACTCTAATTGAATTTTGAGAGAGAGAGAGAGAAAGAGAGAGAGAGAGAGATTTCTCACATTTTTAACTAATTTCTTTTGCCAAACATATTTAACTTGTTGAACATTGAAAAAATGAAGAGACACGAAGTTAAGGAGACGAAATTAAAGAGCGCAACGGTTTGTTTCAAAACTTTAAGCCGTTAGACTTCTAGTGTTCCAAATTTTTTTGAACTCTTAATTTATTTTCCGTTTGAAACTACTTCATACCCTCCAATTTTAGGTGGAATCTTGGCTGCTATTATGCCTGAGAGAGTGCTTGAATAATAAATATATCTAAGGGTGCTAGTTGATTAGTATTATGAATAAACAACTAACAATGAAAAACTAAGCAATATGACTTTAAGCATTAAGAAAAGAGAACAATACAAATGAGATTGATTATTTGTTTTTTTTAATGATTAGAATATGAATAGTTCAGGTCTTTTTTAATTATAAATTTCAAACTTCTGACCTTTTCCACGTTATTGGGCTTTCACGAACCACAATGCAGACTCACTAGTTCTTGATGCGTATGTTGAAGTTTCTGCGCAAGATTCGAGGACAATTAAGAGGTAAACATCTTTGTTATTATTATTACTAGCAAAAGCGCACACGCATGATTTGTTTACGAAAAATTAACGTCTAAGAATTCTTAAAAATTGTCTTTGAAAGAAATATTTGAATTATTAGTTGATAGAAAGAGATTATTAACAGAATACGAAGCAATTGTGCACATATATGAAAAGAGAAAAATATCTCGATATCT